TCCTTGGGATCACTGTTTTTTTTTGTAAATAAAGTTTAATCAGAACACATCCTTTCGATCTAGTATCTGTGAGTAAATGTGACAGAGGGCCCATGTCTGGAAAACTGCCGGACCCTTGTATGTGTTATAAAGGTGGAACTGCCTATCTGGCTCTGTCCAAGAAGTGCTTGCTGGCCCCTGGGCCGGGAGGACACAGAGGGCATTCCCATATCTGCCCAGAGCTCCACTCTGTATGTTTCGAGGCTCCAGTGGAAAAGTGTGTTAGGAGCCTCTGCAAATCTTAGCAAATCTTAATCGCAGTCCTGGCTCCTCCCATACATTTTGCATCTAATTTTCTTGCTCCACTTGCAAAGTGCTTATACGCTTTTTCTTTTTTAACTCAGGCCTTTTTCTTTCTTTTTTCTTTTTCCTCTTACACTTGAAACCATTCTAGTAGTTAACTCTCTTTTTTAAAAAAATTTTTAATTATTTTTTTGCACGTGTACCGTCAAATCGGATCTGGCTGGTACAGGAGGAGATGATCCCTCCTTCTCCAGCAGAGCATTTGGTGGATTTGAACTGCACAGCTCTGGGATTGCAGTACAGCTTCTTGCCATTAGGCCACCAGAGCTCACCACAATCACTCTTCAAATGATGTATTGTTACCATCTCCTTAGAAAGTGCATCTTTCTTGTTCCCCACACGTCAGTTGAATAATTGGAGAGAAAATGGAACGTGTTGCCATGCTAGCTCCTCTTAGCTATATTTATGTATTTATTTACTTATTTATTATACTCTTTTTTTTAAAAAAAAATAGAAGATGTTTTCTGAACTTTACTCCGTTACACCCTAATCACTTTCTGGTCTCTTTTTCCCCCTCCCCTTAGGGTGTGATGGAGCGAAGCGAGAACTTCCCCTGGAATTAAACTAGTTGATCCTCTGAGAAGACAAATGGTGAAAGCTACTGACATAAGCTGTGATTGTATTGTGTATAAGACAGAGAAGGAACACTACACTTTTGTAAAGTTGTTCTCTTAACTTTTGTACCAAATAGCAATAAAAAGGATAGTTGGAACCGTTGAGTTTTACTCAACTGGAGATCAGACATCTCTATTTTGCTCCAGATTTTTTTTTTAAATAGAATTGACCAAATAGGAAGTGGGTTTTTGTTTGGGTTGTTTTTTTTTTTAAATAAAAAATTATTTTTTTGCATTCTTGAGCGCTGCTGAAAAGAAATTGTCTGGAATGGGTGGGGGGATGGGGAGAAAATATATAATGCTTGCACCTCAGGTAAAAAAAATTAAAAAAAAACATTCTGTAAATATATTCAGTTGGAAATCTGCTTGTTTAAAAAAAAATACTGTGTTTTTTCCCTCCCTTCCAATGTATCTCATTCCTTTGAGCCATCTTTGCTATTTGTGCTCTTGGATCTCAAATGTTTTCTCCTCTTGACTTGTCAATGATTTGTATGATGTCAAATCCTCCCCCGTCTCTTGCTGTCTGGATGCCAAGTACTGACCCTGTATCAATGTGTGCTGCATAGAGATCGGCCATTGCCTGCCCAGCACCCTCTGTTGTCAGGCCTCAGCATGGCACCTGGGGAAGGTGGGATGCTGGCAAGCCAGTCCAGGACCTGCGTGGCCAGAGAAGCTTTCTCTAGAGCAGACAGATCCTAAATACGTGCACCAAAAGCCCCAGGCGGAGCTGTTGGAAGTTGGTGTGTGTGTTGTGTTTTTTTTTTTTTCCTCAAAGTAATCATTTCTTTTGGAATATTCTTTTTTTTTTTTGGCTTTTGGGTACATGTGCCTAAATTGATACGTAAAATGCTCTCTGAATCAGCCATGTGAATTACAGACATTTGGAAGAGCATGGGAAGCTATTGGAAGGAAATGGCAATCTTGGTCCGGAGAACGTCTTCGCTGTACTTGTGGAGGGAGGTCTCTGTGTCTGGCCTCTGGGTTACCTGTGGCCAGGTGACAGTCAGTCCACGTGCGGACACGCTGATGGGGACTATGAGCCATGGTTGAGCACACCCCAACTCCCCCCTTCCAGACCTCCGCTGCCTCCTCTTCCCATCTGAACACCGTCTTGTCTCCCCTCCGGGTCATTTCCGAAGTAATGGTGCTCATCTCCAGAATGCACCTGGATTTGAAGGGGGCGCCAGCTGCCCACCCCGCTGGCTGTCCACCTGCTGGCTTCCTGACCGCACGGCAATCACAGAACCTTTTACTTGAGACACCATCTAAAAGGAAATTTGCACTGTTGGTTTTTTTTTCCTTTCCCTGAAGCGCAGACCCTGGAAAGATGCCTGGCTTTTTCATTATGCAACGTCGCACGCGTCTTTGGCGTCTTTGATGTCCAAGTCTTACCTTCCCACGAGTTGGGATCCTAGTGGGGTTTGAGCCCCGTGGCCTCGTAGTTAAGTGCTTTGTATCAGGAAAATGCACTAATAGCCTTTTTCCTGTCCACAAGCTGAGCCATATGTACATAATCTATATTTTTTTCCTAGTTTTGCACTTTTATAGCCTATTTTTGAAGATGAACACATTTGCAACGTGATTGACCCCAATTTTTCTTTTTTTCTTTCCCTCATAATTCAGCGAGTGCTACAGACCCGAATTGGAAACTTTTTCAGAAAAGGGGCATGTGGTATGAGAGGGCTGAAATTGAAATCTGTGTTTTAAAAAAGAGGAAAAAAAATCTCCAAATCTGTTAGAAAACATTTAATTCATGTTGTGCTGAACACATTGCTGAATGCATAAAAATTGGAAAAAAAAGAAAAATTTTCCCTGTTTCAGCCCTCCCTTATACATTTATATTTTGTGCCCATCAGTATTAGGTAATGGAAAACTACTGGTTTTATATGTTCTTTTTTTTTCCATTTTGAGTCAACAGTACATATAATAGAGGTACAATTTGTTGGATTTTTGTTTATGTATTTATTTCATTCCAGTTTGATTTATTTTAATTGTTGATACTTAAGTTGTCAAACAGTAGACATGACTGGTTTTATTTATGATATATGTCAGCTTAATAAAGTTATGTTATTATATGTGGATGTAAATATAGATTTGGTGTTTTGCAGTCTTGAGTTTTGGTCTTTCTTGTGTGCCCAGATCCTGATTTGTTACTTGGACTTTTTCAATCCTATAACTAGGGAACTCTGGGATCCTAATGGGTAAGGAGCTACACTGCTAATCCAAAGGCAGGCAGTTCAAATCCACCAGCAACCACACAGGAGAAAGAGAAGTGTTCTGTTGTTTCTCAGTGGACAGCAGTGAGACAGTGGTGAATCCTGGACATCCACCGGTTTGTCCAACTGTGGTGTGTTTCTTGGTGTGCTAACACTGGAAGCTTTGTTGTTGGTATTTGAAATATCTGTAGGATAAGACGTGGTGGACAGGTTTCAGAAGAACTCCCAGACAAACTAGAACACAGGGCTGCCCAAGACTCTGCTTGGAACATAACAACAACAAGAAGATGGTGGAGGAGGCGGAGACAGTGTGGCCAGCTGCAGGAGCAGCAGACCACATAGAGGAGGGCCACCATGGCCGCCTACAGACCTCTGTTTATTGATAATTGAAGTTAAACAGTTGATGACTGGTCTACGGTGCAGATTGAGGCTCAACATCAGGAGATCAAGGATTCCCAGGGAGGAATGTGAGTCCCACAGCTCCCAGGCCCCTGCTGCCGAGCCCGCACCTCCACCTCAGCTCCATGAGGCTCCCACCGCTGGACCCCAGGGATCCCCTCACCTGGGATGGATGCCCTTTCCTATAGGTAACCTTAATACTGACTTTTACTCCAGACGTGACCCTGAACCTAGTTCCAGAGACAAAAAAGGAAATACAACTGCCAACTAAGGAAGCAAAGGAGGATGGAGCCTCAGGGTTCAGTCATCCATCCCCACTGGACCCACCTGGAGAACACTTTGCAGTCCAGAGGGGAGTAAATGTCAGGAAAATATCTTCTAACAGAACAAGAAGGCAAGCAGCTTTAACCCAAGACCACCAGTAAGGTGATAAAGTGTGCTCCCTTCCCCCCTTTACATCTACGCCCCTGTTCAGCATGAAGAAGCCAGAGAGTCTGTACCCAATTTCCAAATTAGAAACCCACAAGTGAATAAGACAGTTTGTTTAATCACACAAAAAAGTCTGCTTGGAAATGGAACAGTGGGCTTGAACATGGGAGGGAATCGTGAGGAAGGTATAGGATCAGCTCAGTTTCCACCTTTTGAACTTAGGGTCCCCATGAATCAACAGTTGACTTGGTGGCACTTACCTAGTCTTAAACTTGAACAAAACGTGACTTAATGAAGTCTGTGTCTTTGTCACTTAGTGACATTTTTCATTGCCTTCACCTCACCACTTGCGTATTTTAAAACAAATCTCAGATGTCAATGTACTTCACCATGGGATACTTTAGTGTAGAACTTTGTTCTTTTTAATTTTTTGGGTACTTTTTATTTTTATAATTTTAATGAACATTTACAGAGATTTTGGATTTCCATTCATTCATTGCTGCACTTCTCTCCCCACTCAGCCCTCACTCCCCCTTTCCCCCCAGTTTGCTCCTCTCTTTGAAAAGTAAAAGAAACACTCCACTGTCCCCCTGCACCCCTCCCACCGCCCCAAGTACATTCCACTATGCAATATTAATTGTGGACTCTTGTGATAACCATAATACCCTATCATACTTCGCTTTTAAATTATTCTCTCCCTCATCTGTTTCAGTGCAGTATACACAATTTATCCAGTTTTTCTCAGTCTTACCCCAACCCAGATATCAGTCCTATTTTACAACAGTGGCATCATGCAGTATTTGTCCTTTTGCAACCGAGATATTTCACTCAGCGTAATGTCCTCCAGGCTCACCCATTTTGAATAATGCAAGAGTTCCTTGCTTTTCAGTGCAACATAGTATTCCATAATGTGAACATACCACAGCTTCTCTATCCATTCATTTGTTGATGGGCTTTTTAATTCATTTTAATGAGATTTTGGATTTCCATGCATTCATTGTTGCATTTTTCTGCCTGCCCACTCCTCCCCCCAGTTCACTCTTCTCTTTGAAAAGTAAAGGAAGAATTATTTTATTGGTATAGAATCCCCCCTTCCACCCTGAGTCCACTCTACTGTGCAACTTTCATTCTGGACTCTTGTCACAACCTTAACACCCCGTCATATGCATCACTTTCAAACAGTTCTCTCCCTAATCTGTCTCAATGCAGTGTACGTAATGTATCCAATGTTTCTCCGTCTCACTCCAACCCTGATGTCAGTCCCGCCCTACAATAGTGACACCATGCTGCACCTGTCCTTTTGTGACTGAGATATTTCACTCAGCATAATGTCCTCCAAAGTCACCCATTTTGAATAATATTACATGAGTTCCTTGTTTTTCACTTGACAAGTTTTAAGAAAAGCTTAGGAAGTACTGGTGGCATTTGCACTGCTGATCCAAATATGTTGCTTCTTTACTAGTTTAAATCCACCAGTGGTTCCCAGGGAGGAAGATGGACAGTGGCCTCCTTGTGACCGACTGCCTCAGAAATTTGCAAGTCAGCTGTGAGTTGATCCTAACTCAATGAGTTCTTACTAAAAAAATTCCAATTTTTTGTAACTCCGACAAGCTCTGTCACTTAAATAGCTTTATCTCACTTTGAGACCAACCTTAATGCTGGGCTTATAGGTAATATGACAGATGGAGAAAGACTGAAGTTGTTAATGATTTTTTTTATCCATAATCGATGGAGTAGTAGAAAGTTGTTGCACTGAGAAAATCTGTTAAGGATGTGAAAAGACTTTAAGGTGCACCTGATCCAAGCTAAGCTATTTTCAGTGTATGTAATTGCTGAAAATTATCCAAAAATAAGCAGAACAGATGTGCAGGCTGGGTTTAGAAGATGCCATGGTACTAGGGATATTACAG